ATGTAATTCTATCTAATAATTATGATTATGGTATTAACCGATTCATATCCGATTGTAGTATCTACTGATTTCTATCTATTGATTGCTAATCAAAAAATAGTGATCAATTGGGAAGGTACCCGATTTATTAGTGTTCGACCTGTGATATTTAAATTATCTTTTAAGTGTAAGTAAAATTTCTTTTAAATTTGAAAGAAAAACCATTAAAGGGATAATAATATAGATTCAATATTAAATAAATATTATTAGAATTTTTTGAGTTTTTGTAAAGTAATTAGAAGTCTTTATATTTACTAATTCAAAACTTTGATTATAAAACAGTAACTATTTAGATAAAGTAATTAATTAAAAATCTTTTTTAAATACCATAAATATTGAGTTGAATCTTACTATCACTTAATTGATTAAGTGTTTTAATTCACCTAATATTTAATTAAGCAATACTATAAATCAGATAAACTTTGCTTTTTTTTTCTTTTTAGATTTATCTGCTTCATAATTTATTTATTATTTAAATTTTTATTATCAAAATTAAATCTTTAAAAAAGAATTTGTAATATAATCCGATTTAATAGTTTTACTTTATACAATTAAAACTAGTTATAATAAACCTCTTTATAGTGAACTCATAATATAACAAATTCAAAATTTTTAAATTTTAATAATAATTCATTATAAAAAGTGTAATGATTCATATAGAAAAAATAGTATTTATATAATAACCTTTTTTTTAAAATGAAATTATCAGTTCATTATAAAAGCGTTAACTGTAATAAATTTTTTTATTTGTAAAATTAAGCTTAATTTACACTTCCTTTACTAGTAGAATTGGTTTTTTTGCAAGTACATTTTGCATAACTTTTCTACCTTATTTCTAATTTGCTTGAAAAATCAACCAAATAATGTATTTGTATTTACTATCTTTTATAAAATATTGTTTTTTCTTACTTTTGATCTTTTAAATTTTCATTTTAAAATTTAAAATAAATTTTTTAATTTCTAAGTCTATTTATTTGATATTATCTTTACTTGGATTTATTTCTATTTTTAAGACCTTTTTTTTCATTTAACTAATAACTAAATAGTGCAAAAAATAAATATTAGACATAATATGTATAATATTGGTTTCTAATTATTTATATAAATAATTATATTAATAATTATATTCAAACTAATGTTGTTTTTCTAAACTAGTTTAATTAACTACCCAAACTAGTTTTGTTTAACCAAAACTAAAAAAGCCAAATTGAAACTATTTTTAATATTAAATAAAAAAAAAAATGTATAAACCTCTGTAAGATATACCTGCTACTTTAAAAGTAGAAACTAAACCTATTACCAATTTTTTTAAATATTTATGAATTCATTAAATTTAAACTAAGTAAATTGAAACGCTTTTAGTAATTCATATTAATTTTAAACTTATTTTTATGGTTTTATATATAAAAAGATAATTTTTATTTAAAAAGAGAGAGAATATCCATTGCTCATTTTAGGGATTTGCGTTGATATTTTTTTTACTAAATATCGGATATATAAAAGAAAATAAAAAGGATAAAGGTAATTTTTACTGAACAATTAAACCTATTCTAGCGGTTAAAAGGGAAAGGAAAATAGTAGATAAAGTTACAAGAATAACTTTTAAGATACTGGTATCAGGTAATATAATATATTTCTGAGCAGGAGAAACAGCAACAGTATGAGTATCCAAATAAACAAAATAAGCGTAAGCAGGGAAAGCAACACTATAGGTAAAAGAAAAGATAACATAAGAATCGAATTCATAAACCAAAATTGTGGTCAGATCATTTCCAAAGAGATGAGTGAGTGAAGCTAAAACTAAAAATAAGACATATTGAGGACGGAAATATCCAATGGAACCAAAATCATCATTGATTTGGTATGTTTGATCGATTTCTTCAATTTCTGAAGAAATACTTTCTCTATTGGTGTGATTTTGTCTTGGATTTTCTATATCGAGGAGTCGTTGATAAGTTTCATCACCATAACCTTTACGTGTATTAAAATACATACGCGTAAATTGAATGACTAATGCATAATCCGAACAAAGTCCTTGTACTTTAAACCAAAGAGCATCAAAAGGCCATTCTAAAAAGATGCTCAAACTTACAGCAAGTAACACATATAAAGTTATCCAAATTACAAATGAGTTCGAAGTGATTCTTCCTCCTTGATGCAAGGTAACTAGAATACAAACTTCGACTACATTATGGAATATTCCTATGATTGCCCACATTTTACCAACATCAACTGCAAAATATAAAATTCCTGCTAAAGCTGTAACGAATGAATAAACGGCCAATAAACGGTCAAACGTAATAGTCGAAGTTTTGATTGATTCTCTATCAACGAAATATGTTAATACTTTTGCATTCTTTTGCGTGTTAAATATGGTCCATTTATATGCAAAATATCCTGAAATCGTCAACATTATTGCCGAGAAAAGAATCGTAGCATCTTGTACTTGTTCATTGTATCCTGGTAAAGGAGGATGCCAAACGGGATATCCGGTGTGAGTTCCATTATCTTGTGGTGGAATACTTTTGGTGTTTCCTACAAAACTTAATGCCAATATTCCGAGTGAAACGAGAACAAATAAAATAGCAATGAAAGTTCCAGCTTTATTCATATTTTTTGAGTATTGTAATGATTTTTGGTTTACTTTTTTTTTTTTTTTTTTTCCCTTTGGTAAAATTCTCTTTTTATAAGAAAAAAACCTGATTCAACAAATGAATAAATGAAAACAAGTATTGTTTTACCATATATTATTCAATTATACGAATTTCCCTCCGATTAAAAAACTAAAAATTTATTTATATAAATATTTCCTAATTAATCGTGTGAAATTTTTTTAATCGTCAAAAACAGAAATTTTATTGATAAACAAAACAGGTATTTCACAATTTAGGCTTTGCAATTGTTTTTTCCACCTTCACAAATAAATACTGATCTGGGAAATTTTATGTGTCACTGCATCATTAAAAAAAAAATCGTATTGACTTCGCAATAAAAATTCTTCGGGAGCGTATATGAGCAGTAAACTAATATATTTCACGCCCGTGAAAAAAAATAATGTCGTAATAAATATATCGTGTGTTACAATAACTTAAACTTCTTTGAAATCCAAAACATTTAAAAGTCAAAAAATAATTTACGTGCCCAACATGCATAAAAAGCAACGAATGGCGGCTTGAATTTTCGAAAAGATATATAAACTTCAATTACATTAATTTCGGACATATTTAAAATAGAAAATCAAGTGGCAAGTTATATTGTTACTATGAAAAAAAAGGATGTGAATATAAAGGAGTGATACGAAAAGGTGAGTCCCGTGAAGATGATGAGTGGTGTACATCACCTCATGTGACATTTACTCAATGAATAAGATTAACCGGCCAAAATTATAATAATGTGGGACGGAGGTGGTATATGTAACTTGAGTACGCTTCACACAAATGTCACGTGATCATAATAAACATCATTGTACACCACTCATCACCTCCACGGGACTCCACACCTTTTCGTATTAACTAATATAAAGCATCATCAATGATTTAACGAATGTCATTTTCAAAATGGTAACTTTTATTTTATAATAATTTATACATTTTAACAAAATCTTTTATTATATTTAAAACTATGCAATGTACGATTTTCAAATGATATATCCTAACGACGAAACATTGATATTTTCCCGAAAAATTCAACTCCGATAATATATCCAGTAAAATATTGATGTGTATTATCATGGGCGAATGATTAGTAAATGGGGAATAGGATCTATTACTGTATCACTTTCAAAATGATATATTGACTAAATAAGTAACATCTTGTATTGAATAAAAATTGATTAAAATGTTATAATGATATTTATCAATTAAAATATTAATGTTATTTTATTATCAATAAGTAGAAAAGAATAATGTAAATATATTTTGAATGATACTCATAATAAAATTTTGATTATTCATCACCATCTTTATTTATTATAGAGTTAAAGTTAATAATAAGTTAAAAATTAAGTAAAAGTTTTAGAGATTGCATACCTTCATCATTTTCAAAATCAATATCATCATTAATTTCAAAATTCATTGAATCTATAAATTTAAAATAGGATTTAGAAAAATTGATTTATGATTAAAAAAATTAAATAAGGTCAATCTTTGAAATTACATGCCTTCATCATCACATAGCATTGAACCTATATATTTAAAATAAATAAAAATTTAGAATTAACTTATTTATAAAAAAAAAAAATTATAAAAATATTTCATTTTTACTTGGAATATCCAAAACTCTACTTCTATACACTGCTTGTACATGAGTTGTATATACAAGCTGGTTATTTGTTGATTCCTGTAAATCGGTAAGATCATGTTTATCAGTATCTGCTTCATCATATTGCTTATAAAATTCTGAATCAAAGTTTGGTACATCAAGGTCTAGCCACCATTCATATATCATTTCATGAATCTTTCTCGCATTTGGTCTTTTCATAGGATCCTTGTCCCAACATTGGTTAATAAGATCCAAAAGCAACTTAGGTACTTTAATTTTAAATTTTGGCCTAAGTCCCTTAATAATATCAAAAGCCAAATGTGCTTGATGAGGAACATCATGAAAAGGTGGGATTCCAGCGATAACTTCATAACAAATCATTCCAAGTGAATAAATATCAGATTTTTCTGTATACTTATTTTTCATTAAAACTTCAGGAGCTACATATGGTAAGACCCCATGTATCGTATTATCTTTTTGATCTTGGTCTGCTGGTCTACTTAAACCCAAATCTGTAATCAAAGCATCAAAACCATCTCCTTTTAATATATTGCCTGAATGAAAATCACGGTGAACAAATCCTTTTTCATGAATATTGCTTAATCCTTTTGCGATATTATTTAGTATATATAACTTTTCAATCCAAGGAATTGAATAATAATTTTTGTCCAAATAATGTCGTAAACTACCGTTTTTTTTATATTCCATTACGACAATAAAATTGTTTGTCTTTGAATCTTTACTCATCCCATAACATTGAATAACGTATCCTCCTGCATTATTCATTGTCACATGTGATTTTACCTGATAATAATAAACTTTTATTAAATCTTTATTTTTAATTTTTAATTTTAATTATAATAGATAAATTTAACCTACCTCCTCTAAAAATTCGCGGGCAATGTTTTGCGAATTATATAACATTTTCAATACTACCATCTTATAACCTAATAATTTATAGTTATTTTCTTTTTTTTCTTCGTCTTGATTTCTATACCAATCATTATTTTTCGCATCCCATTTTAAAATATTACCATCTTTCCATTTTGCTTTATATACAGCTCCAAACCCTCCTTTAGCAAGATATTCAATATCATAAAATCGATCATACCCAACCCACTCTAATATTGATCTTGAATTTTCCGCAATAGTTTGAGACTCCTTAATGAATTCATTGATAATCTCATTTCCACTAGTCCAATTTTTAAAATTATCTTGAAAGCGTTTTGAACTACAAGGAGAACACCAACGTCTTACCGTGCAAGGTTGGTAACATTCATCACATAATGATGATTTTTTATATCTTTTCTTCAACTCTTCATTTACTATTAATCTATCAACTATTTCCTTTTGTCCTTTAGGAAGAGCAAAGAATTTAAAATCTTTGATTTGTTCGTAAACTTCTTTAGTAATATAATTTTGTTCCATAATTTTCTAAAAAAAAAAAATCACACCCTCATTTTGGATATTTTATTAATGCCGTGATGCCGGCCAAAGTCACGTGGGAGTGAAAAATCTTGTGGGTTAAATATATTTTTGTGAAAAATTCTCAACAAAACGAGAACCGACGCTTACCTTTTGTATTTTCGAAATATTCTCATAACATATATATTTTTATAAATATATATATATATTTTTTTTTTAATAAAATGAGCAAAAGATCTTTAAGACAACGGCAACATAATCCTTATATATCTACTGCTAGGTATTTTCATGTTAAAACGCGTCCCCAATATACGCACCAAATGCATTAGTTATCATTTTAAAAGGTCAAGGAATTTTTCTAAATGATGTTCATGAACTTTATAATCTTATCATAGTAATGCTTTATATGTGGGATATGTCGAAGATGATGAATCTATCGATGCTATCATGAAGAAATTTGAAGAGTTGGAACGAATTCGGGAAGAAATTGCGGCCTCTAACTCCAATGAAACTGTCGATGATCATGATTCTAATAATACTACTGTTCAAGAGAATGGCTTAACGCAAGAACAACTTGAAGAAGTTTTTAGAAGAACTTCTAGTTTCACAGTAAAATCCGCTACCTTTGCGCCAAATTTTGATGAACTTGATGACCTAGATTTTTGGCGCGTTGAATTAGAAGATGGTAATACTGCGGAATACGAGGAAGAAGAGTATATATCAATTATTTAAATCTATTTATAATCACATCAAGGAGAACGTGATGTAGAGTTTTATTGTGCAAAAAATTTATCCGAGAAATCATACGTATTATTTTGATCTAGCGATTACATGGCGGTAGATAATGACTTTTGGGATGCTGAATTTGGAGATAAAAAACGTAAGCGGAAGAATGATAAATCATCACCCGAAAGACGACGCGGTTTTGATCGTGAAAGTATATTACAACGATACAAAATCATGCAAGTCAAATTACAAGATAGGAACGGCAATTTTTTTACCGTAAAGAAGAAAGTCAGGTAACATCATTACGAAAAATTATGTATGTTTTCAACATTATACATAATAAACATATAATGTCCATCGTGAACAGCAACATAGATCCTAGTCTCCCTACATACATAAGAATTCCATCATTACCGATACCACGTTCATGGGCGCATACGATCCTTCCACCGAAAATTGAATCAACTTCAATGGTTCACGGATCAAGGTGATCAAAAGGTTTTCATTATCGTATTTCAAAAGGAACTTATATTAATGGTTTTAATCTTAATAGATATTATGAAAAAGATATCTTATCAATGGACCTTAAAAAGCTTGGACAAGACTTTCAAGCAGTATATGCAGATCCACCTTTTCTATTACCAGACGAGGAGCCCTCTCCCGGAAAAATAACTTTACAGCAATTTGTAAAGAATCTTGTTATTCATTTTAATTTAAACCGAAATGAAATTCATATTGATAAACGGAACGTTATTTGTAGGAAAGTCTTAAATTGTCAGATATAGTTCCCAAAGGGTTTCTTTTTATATGGGTTGAGAAAGAATTCATACCGGATATTGTTCATATCGCGGAAAAATGGAATTTTCGATATGTAGAAAATTTTTGTTGGATCAAGAAACATATTAACAATCAAATTTCTCGCGCATCATATCGATATTTCAATAAGTCGAAATTATCTCTCCTGATATTTCGCAAGGTCGGTCTTGATTTATTTTTTGGGGGTTCCGTTAGAATCTGTGATACCAACAGCCGTAAATATACTAATGTATATCGTTTAATAGGAGGGAGATATCGAGTTGCGTCATCAAAGAAATCCAGATTGTGTATTTGACTTTATAAAACCCAGGACACCTGGTAAGAATTTATCAATTTAAAAGGACCTATGAATAGATCTTAATAAAAAAGCGATCATTTATTTTAGAAATGTTAACTGAAGGGAAGCCAAGGGTCATGTATGACGTTATTGAAACAATGTTACCTCAAGCCGTTTATAGTGAACAAAACTCCAAAGGTGATAAATTATTAGAATTGTAGGTTTATTTATTGATTTATTATTATGTTTTTTTCCTTTATTTTATTTTTATTTTTATTTTTTTTAAAAAAAATTCTTTATGAAAGGTGGGCGAAGAAAGAATCGCGTCGTCAAGGATGGACAACCGTTGTTCAAATATAATGGGAACACGGATAAAGATGATATGTGCATTAGGTTATAATCATCGATGCGATTTTATTAGGTCTTTATTAGGTAATTTATAGGTAAATAACCTGTCAATAATTAATGCATCATTCATTCGGTTCTCATCTATGCGATTTATTAGGAATTTATTAGGTAGTTTATAAGTAAATAACCAATGTAACTTTCTGAAAATCAATAAATTGGATGTATATTCAGTATAACCAATTCTGGGTTAGTAAGTATCAAAGTTTTCAACGATTTTGATAATCACTCATGGACTTTATTAATTTCAATCCAATAATCCTATTCGTAAATATATATTGTATTTTGCAATGCGGATAATAAAAGTCCTAAAATCTTGATATTACTAAAACGAGTATTTATTTCCATAATTAAAATATCCCATTTTTTTTTATTTAATTGATCCTATATAGAGAAATTCTGAAAATATATCACTTTGACTAAAACCAAAATTAATCTAACTAATAAAACGATTTTTTATTTAGATAAATTTAATTCATTTAATTATGATTATTTATGAATTTCAAAAATGTAGAATCAAAGTGTTAAAGGTTAGGCGAACAAATGGCCGATACGAGCCGAATGCCGAATTTGGCAAATTGGCAAATGATCATGATCGGATGATTGTGATTGTCAAGATCGACTCTCAAAATTCGAAATTGATGGATGAATCTAAATTCAAAGATTTTTTTTTAAAAAAAATTATCCTTCGTTTCATCGTATAATGCATAAATAAAGAAATGCAAGGAGGTTGTACATGTGCAGTAAAAGTTTTCAACTTTAATATATTTATTTTTTTTTTTATTATTTTTCCCGTTAAAATTGTGTGGTAGCTCCGAAAACTTTCCGTTAACTAATGATGAGTGCCTTTTTTTTTTTTGAAAATATGAAACATTAGATCCTCATTTGCATGGAACCATGATACCATCCGTTAATTTAAAGTGAAATAAAGATTTTTTTTTTTTGTAAGACCGTAACGAAATTATTTTTCGTTGTCAGAAATAATACGATGAAACAAAAGTAACAGAAATCATATACATAATAAGCATGGCCATGTTGCTTGCCTCTTTCAATAAACTCAAAACGAAAAAAAAAATTACAGTAAAGTAATATAAAATAAAAATTATAAAAATGTCCGATGGATTCTTCTTTGTGCCCAACCTTTTTGATCTCAAAACATTAAAGGTTTTTCCCTTCGACACTTTATTTATATCATTTCGTCTATTTGTCTATAAACTTGTAAATTAATTATAGTACTTATAAATCGATACCCGGACTTGACAATATCATAATTCCTTTTCAATTATTTCCGAAACGACTAATTTTTATATTGTTATTCCATAGATTGGAAATCAATTTTGTTTTAATTTTTTAATATTTCTCCGTTGCAAAACTCTGCCATATAAAATCGTATGATTCTCCATTTTTTTCTTGGAAAAAAAAGTGGAAAAAGTACCCATATGTTTCATTATTGAAACAATTAAAAGTAAGTTTAATTTATTTAATTGGTTAACAGATTCCCGAATTTCAAGGTTGAAGATAAATTAAGTTACTAAATATGGATAAGCAACAAATATAATTTTGCATCAATTCAACACTATATAATTGGTTAATTGTATTAAATATTTTCTCGAAAAACAACAAAAGTTGTTTCTTTATTTCCTACCGTTCTATTTATTTATTTATTTTAAAAAAGGGTGCTGGTTCACCATTATTCACTTCAACCTCCTCCACACTCTCATTTCGTCAATAAATTCCTATCTATTATAAGAAAAAAACAACCCATCTAACTTAATATTCTTGTATGCTTTTTTTTCTTTTGCAGGTAAATTTCATCTGCAATTCGAAGCGCTTGGTACTACTACCTTGATAATTATAACCGGTCCCCTTGTTGCCTTTTTAAATCAATAATTTCTTTTTTTTTATAAAGGCTCTTAAATTTTGTCCATCCTCTTTGGAGTTTGTTTCTTCTTTTATCATTTCCTCTTGATTGCTGGACATCAAGTCTTTTATTGACATTCACGTTGCCCCTACCTCCCACACTACCCTCGAAAGTCTTAACTATTTTCCCTCTTTAAAAAAAATTTATCTCCCTCTCCCTTTCAATCTTTAAGACTTACTTATTTTCTTTTTTATATTGAACTTTTGTACAAGAAACAAAAAAGGAAAAGTAACGCATATTTAAACATACAAAATACTTTTTTATATCATGGCTAAAAACAATTCATACAAAGCTATCAGCAAGACATTATTGTCTACTTTTGCTTTTTTGGAACTATGCCATTTGGCTACAGGGGCTATAATTATCGCTCTTGGTATAAAATGGCTTTATAGTATTGGTCTTAACCTTAGGAGTGCTGTTATAACGAAAGAATTAATTACGGGTATGTTTTTTAACTAAGTTATTGCGATCAAAAGATTTAATGTAAATAACCAATTCAAACTAAATTACTTATCAACATTTCTTTCTTCGCTCAAATTCTTTTAGGTGGATTCGTTGTTGGCGGGTTAATTGTTGTTTCATTTTTAGTCGCATTTGTTGGATTCTTCGATCCATTGAAACGTAAGAACTGGTTATTGACGCACGCATTCTTTGTTGTTATAACTTCAATTGCACTTTTGATTTTGGGTGCAATCATTTGGTTTGAAACATTGGATGAACGAAGACAATTTGGCAAAAGTTGGGCGAGTTGGAGTGAAGAAAGAAGAGGCTACTTCCAAGATTCGGTAAGATTTGAATATAAAACATTCAACAAATTAAATAATACTTATGTATAATCTTTAAACTTATTTTTTCTTTCTATTTTTTTTTTTTATAGTTAAAATGTTGCGGGTATAAAGATTCTACTGATAATAGAGCGTTATCCAAATTATGCCCAAATTCTCCACTTGAAGACACATTACCACCCTGTATAGATTTAATCACAAAGGCCGCAGATCAAATTTTACGAAAATTGTTTACTTCACTATTCGGTTTCATAACCGTTGATATTTTTGTATTTTTTGCAACTATAATCTTAATTCAAGCAAGGAATGTTGAAGAACGATATCGTAAAATTGACGAAAAACATGGTGCTTTAGGAGATCAAGCATTAAAAAGACAATATGTTTAAACGACCTTTTTAATTTTTTTTTTTTTTTTTACGGTGGTTTTATTGTACATTTTTTTTTCCTTTTTTTTTTTGTAATTTTGGTTTAATAGTATTACCTTTTAGATATTCTTTCGTGATTTATGTTTTGAGGTATATTTAATTAAAGGATACTTCACGATTGTAGTCACATTGTCATCATCATTATTTTGTAATTTTTGCACATTTAGTCATTAAAACATTTCATGGTAATTTATTTACAATTATTCTTTTTCTTCTTAATAATTTGTTTCTTAATAAAAAAAAAATAAAGTGATAGAACTATTATAAATAATTCTAAAGAAAAAAATAGTTAAGACTTGCTTTCACGGTTTATGACAAGAGTCTTGCGGTTATATCATATTTTACTTTTGATTTGATTATTATTTATTTCATGAAATTTTTTGGCATTATGTTTCATTTTAGAAATTAAATTATAATTATTAATAATTATTAACTCTACAAATGGGGAAAACTTTTTATTATCTTCAAACACATCAAAACTACCATTATTTAATGATAAAAAGTGAATGTTAAAAACCAATGAAGATTTTGCATCTTTAGAATATACTTAGGGTATCATGTACTCCCCATACGTATAAATATTTATAAGTATAAAGTGATAAATACAACAAATCAAATTTCGAACTTCAAGATCACATGATTAATTATAAGTGATATTTATTTTAATCAAAAAAAAATATCTTTCAATTGTATTTTTTTTTTTTTTTTAATAAAAAATAAGAAGTTAAATTTATAACTATGCAAATTGAATTACATGACAATTTATTTAAGTATAAAAACTTAATTAACTATCATAATATTATATACTGTTACCTAACTATTGATTAGACAGATTAAAACTCATAATCAATTGAGTAGCAGCAAGATTTAGCTCAATCTTTATGATGATTTGAAAGAGACTTTAATTATGTTAAACTTTGATTAACACTGATGTTCTTTTACAACTAAGTTTCTGAATTGGCAAGTATTGGATTTTCAATTTACTGTATGTGAGTTGTAATTTTCTCTAATATTAGAAAAATACTCTAGTGATATTATAATAAATATATTATAACCAAGTTGGTGATATACAGCTAAAGTATTTCATAATATTATTATCACTTAAGCTCATTGATAACATAAAACAATTTGTTGATACTAAGTGATTTGTTAATACAAAATAAATTAATGATATTAAACACAATTACACAATTAACACAAAGTAGGATTTAACATAAAACAAGGTTAATACAAAGCAGTGTTGATACAAAATAAATTGTTTTGTACAAGACTAACTTTCTAAATTTTTATTGATATATGGGGCCTTTGCAATAGAAAGGGAGGAAACTGCCGGAAAATTAAAAAATGAGTTAATGCTAAATTTGAACATATTTCAGCCTAAAAATCATATTTGACATATAAAGTAAAATTGATTTTTTCTGGAAGTTTCCCCCCTTTCTATTGCAAAGATCCCATATGATGAAAACTCAGCTTATTTATAACAAAAATTCTACACTAAATTGCTAACTATTACATAAAAAATATATCATAATTCTTTCATTTCTCTATATAATTCTGCTGTAATGATTGAGTAATGACTATATAATTGCTATACAATAGTCCTATAACTATAATATATTTGTATTTGAAGAGATATAGAAAATTTAATTATATTGTTCTTTAATTATTAGGGTAATGACATATATTAGCTAATAAAATTTTAATATAAGTACTTACCCTTACCTCCAAATAAGATTATCACATGTTATATTATCATGTGAGTCTATTGTTTACCTTGTAATTAATTAATCAAATAATTAAAAAAGAGTCAAATAAATATTATAAAAATATCTTAATATTTCAAATTGTAAATTTTTTTTATTCTTTTTATAAAATTCAATGTTTTTTAAATATATAAAGTCACTTAAAAAGTTTTAATTAGATGATTATCTACAATTATATTTTTCATGTATTACAAGATACTGCAGAAAATTTATTTTCACGTAACTTTTTAAGAAACTAACGTACTGCAGAGCTTTTACGCATTATATTCAACTTTCGTTTCACATTTACAAAAAGCTTTTTATATAAAAAAATACATTAGTATTTCATTTCAAATATTAAATATGAGTCGACAAACCTTTTTGTTTAATCATAAGTTCAATAAAAAGCTAATATACAAATTACCAACAAATAAATATTAGGAATTTTCCAATGCTTATATATATGATCTTATAGTGAAAACAGGAAATGATTCTCCAAATTATGCTGATGTTTGTCATGAAATATCACAGGAATAAAATAAAATTAAAAGTAAAAAATCAGAAAATACTTGACAACATAATTTAATTTATTTTTATACAAATAATAAGATTACGTCTTCCTTTGTCTAGAGAAGAATCAACTTCTCCCCCCACTATTTGTTTAGCAAAACCTGTACCAAAAATTTCTAATAATACAACAGCTCAAAAAAAGATGACAAGTGAAATAACAAAGGCTGAAAAAGAGATTATTAAATATAAATAAATTTATAATATCATGACTAAATCCTAACTTTACCATGACATGTATGTAAAAATAATAGACCTTCAAGCCTAAATTAAATCAAATCAGAACAGGATTTTTAAATTAAAAAGAAATGCAAAATATGTTCAAAATTGCAAAGAAAGAAAACTAAAAATGCTTGTTGAAAATCAGAAGATTATATAATATGATAAATTCAATCACCTATCCTTTCTTTTCAAACATCTGAAATTACATAATCATATTTATAATTCAGTTGAATTTGGTTCAGCTGATGAAAAACAAAGAAAAGAAGTTATAAAAGTTTAGATTATCAAAAATTTATGTAGAAATCTTAAGGAAAAATATAATGTCTATATGATGCAGATAATATTAAATAATTATCTATTGTCACACCAATCCAATTCCATTACTGCAAAAGCTCATTATCATTTAGCATGGATTACAGTATCTGGAGTTTTACGAACAGAGATACACAATCATCCTGATGGTCATTATTGCCTTGCATCCGTTAAATGTATAAAGCAATTTGCTGATATGTTAGTTATTATCTTCCAAGATGACAAAATAAAGATAGGTCTTGGAATACCTGCTGTAGGTCAGACCTTTCAAATATTATAATCAGTTCATGAATCTGTTTGTGTGGCCAATCACGATTTTCCTTCAGAGTATGTATAAAAATTAGTTTCATCAGTCTATTTTATGATCAAACTAAATGATTCAAATGATGAACTATGAATAGAATAACTTGTAATTTTTGTAAGACGCCAATGGTCCTTTGGTACAGCCTCCTTCATGCATATCAGGACCTCAAAAATCTCTCTTTAAATATCCAATACAATGATATGTTTAAGACCAATGGAGAAATTTGACCAATCTGGGTTTTATTAGTAGACAGAAGACCGGACAAGAACCTGAGACACCTAAAAAATATTAAAACATATTGTTATTTTTTTGAAAATTTAACTTAAATTATTTGACTATAAGAACAAATGCTCTAAAGTAATCCAAATATAACCTGTTTAAAATAGGTATAATGACGCTATCCAGAAAATTAGCAAGCATTATACTATCAATCAATCACTTTAGAATGAATTTAAATTCGCAAAGCAAAGTGATAGATTCAAAGTTAGCTCTTCAGAATTTCAATATGTCAGAGAAGCTTTTTGTAATATCTGGCATCATGTTTTGATTTTCAGAAAAAGCGTGAATGCTCAGTATGTCAAAGAATTCGTCAATCTATTTGAAAACCTACAATTTAAGAATACGGAAAAAGAAAAAACAGAAGAATAAAAACGATAAGAAAAATAAAAAAAGAAACAACAAAATGAGAAAGAAAATGACTTAACTAATTATTTTGTATCATGGTCATGGATTGAAAATCATTGTAATATGTACCAGTATTCTCTTGATATTAAACGATACATGAATATAAGTTGTTGTGATCCACCCTGTACAAAAGAAGCCATGGAATTTCTTCAATTAAATAATGGCTTTTTACCTCCTATTACCAAAGCCAAAGATGAACACTTTATCAATCCAATATATCTTTTCAAATATTATGATTTCTTGAAAATTTCTGGCTATGATCTCCACTACTCATCTCTTAATGAAACAACATATTCACGTCTTTGTTGTTCCAAATTAAAGATGGTTCCCATAATTATTTTTAAAATTTTTAACTAGTTGCAACTTAAGTTGCAATACTTTGAGTTGCAACATTTTATGAATTTTTATATTAAAATAAATTTACAAGGAGTTATAACCATGTTGCAACTTTTAATTATATTGTCCATCTTTATTACGAATGTAATAAGTATTTTCCAACTCTTACATTTTTGACGAAACACAAATGAACAGTATAATTCTGCCAACTGTGAATGACCCAAGAGAAAGAGTAAAAGCCAAAACTCTGCAACTCTTGACGATTTTTCTCTTCTTCTATTATAACTAAGGTTGCTAGATGAAATTAAGAGTTTAGACAAACGTCTAAATAGTAAAAGTAAAACTTGGTTAAATTATATTAAAATCTTATTAAAAAATCTGTGAAATTTGGAAAAAGGTAAAACTATAGCAATGCTTATAAAAATGGCGAAACTATATCAAACACTTAGTAAAAATTTAGCAAAACTAAAGGTTTATTCGTTTTACCAAATTTAAAATGAGTTTAGACAAGCAACCTTAATCATAACAAAAGAAAAGGCTTTTCGAAGAAATGTTTCAAAAGAATACATGTCAGATCAAGATTGATATTAATAATCGGTATTGTATATATATTTTCAAATTAATATATACAATATAAATAATAAATAAATAATGCTAAGCCATCGTTATCACGTAATTTATAAGTAGTGTATAACCTAAGATTTCCTGTTACCTTCTACTCCCTAAAATATTAGCTAATATATATTACTGCCCTTACTATATGTTAATATTTAGTCTAGACTAGTTGTTTCTTA